AAAAAAAAAAAGCTAAGGTTGTGATCGTTGTGTATAATTTGGCAGTAGAACACCTTTCTAAACGTATAAAATCAACATTTTACTCCTCGGAAAATGCCAATAAGGTTGACTTGACAGGATATTTCGGGATACAACATTTTATACACAAAGTAGATCGATGTATCAATTATCAAACGGTCAAATCTGTCAACCAAAATTCCAAAATTTGTTATTCACATACTGCAAGACGTAAAAGCGAATAAAATTTAAAAAAAAAAACATCAACTGTTTTTTTTTTCAATTCTACGTGTACTTTGACTGCAAAAAGTGTGCGCATACGTGTTAGATTGTTTTTTGATTTTTCCATGTTCTCATTCTTTGTCAACAGTTCTGCAAAGAGCCAAAAGAACTATTTCGCCAGCCAGTTTTTGCTCAATAAATTGAAAGTTAAAGAGTGAGGTAATCGCAAAGTTGAACTCTTTAGGTTAAATTATTTAATATTCTAAACAACTAAGTTTTTCTCTCTTTTTCAACAATTTGATCTCTGTTTTTTTTCAGTAAAAGTTTCTAAATAGTTACGTACAATCTCAGTAAAAAACACATAATCTTTAGCCAGTAAAAAAAGTCAACAAATGCACAGAGTGTCTTCATGTCTAGAGCATCGAAGTTTTTGTGTGCTTTCAATAGTTGTTTTAGCCTTCTTTTCCCAGTTTCTTTAATTTCTTTCCAAAGTTGAAAAAGTAACTAACATTTTTCTAATATAGTTTTTGACCGGTATTCTATTTTAAAAAGAAAGGATCTTTGTTAACATATTTAAAAATACTTTCTTACGATTCGCCATAATTATTACTGTCATTCTTAAACAGCTTCTTGCCAAACTAATGTATTTAAAATAGAACTACACTCGACTCATTTTCTAGCTTTGGTTTAGGAACGCAAACATTTTACAGAATGCTTTGAATCTGGCTTTTTTTAGCGACACCAAGCCACTGCAGCTACATTCAAGCTACTGCTTATTGCTGTCACCGACCAGGAAATAAACCTAAATGTTGAAAGACAGTACCTTCAAAGCCACTGCAAGCATATAATACGCTGTCTAAAATGTGTCCTAAAATTGTTCGTCCACCTCCTGTTTTTCAACTCCAAAACCACCTCCAACATCACCTTCACTGGCAGTTGTTTGTCAAATAACAGAGTGTCAGTCAGCTATTGCTTCCCTGCCGTGTCCAGCACCTACCCGCCTTGTCCACCTCTTCCAGCGTCACAACTAAGCCCTATCTGTCCAACACCGCCTCCAACTCTATAGCCTATATGTCCATCACCACCACCACCGCCATGTCCATCTTCGACGAAACCTCTGCCTTGTCCACCACAAAGAAAATGCTCACCATCTACACATTCCTCACTAGTACCGGTGTCATGTCTAGCAACGTCACTATGCCTACTAAGAAACTGCACATAACTACCTGCTCTCAACCTCCTCAACGCCATATACAGCACCACTAGTAGCAGCAGAACCTTTACTAGCAGCATCATCAGCAGTAACTTCTCTGCCCCCTAAATAAACTTGTCCTCAGCGAAGATCATCCAAAAAGTTTTTTATATAGTGATTACATCAACCGGTGAGACGGCTTGAGCAACAGTTCTAGCACCTTCTAGTGCAATTTTGAAGCTATTTAAATCAAGTGTTTCACAAGTAGATAGAAGAATAATCAGAAGATAAAAATTAGATAAAATTTGTGAAATTTTCACCTTCAAATAGAGAACGGCGCTTTGCTTGCGACAAGTCCTCTGATTAGTTGTATGTCGTTAGTCAGCTTTATAAACCACTTCCCTTCCTTTGCACTTCGTTCCATTGCAGTTGCATTAGAAATGTATAATATTGTCACACAACTATAGAGCAAAACTGTGCGTTTGAAACGACGGTAAAGTTTTTTAAAGTTTTTCAACCGGGAACGATGTGGAAAGCTTTTGGGTTATCGTAGAAAATTTGAATTTGGAATTATTTGCCAAAAAAGTACAATTCGTGAATTACAAAATACTATTTTCAAAAACGAAACTGTCACAGCTAGCTGCGTTTATAAGCAATAATTTGGTTATCAGCTGCTTTAGAGGTTTTATTTGTGTTGCAGATATACTATCGAGCTTTGTTCATAAAGTTGAAAGATTTTTTTTTGCAGTATGAAAAAAGAGTCATGAAAAAAGAGTCATGAAAAGTTTCTTTTTTAATACTTCTGCGAAAAATCTGGTATATAAATTTTTTATTATAAGTTTCATTATTAGCTTTCATTTTTCCTCATTGTTGATTTTGACCTTTCTACGGTTCTTTTTATTCCAAAAATTGCGCTTTCTAAAGTCTTCTAGCAGCTGCAGATGCCCTACACTAAATCAAAATACCTCTTCAAAAACTTTAATTAAAAAAATAAAGTTCTATTATTATGTCAAACTGCCCACTTTTTATCGCAGATGTCTTATACACAATCAACACATTTGCAATGTAGCTATCCGCAGGGGAAACGAAGCCGAGGTTTATTTCCAACAACGACGCTTGTTCATTTAGAAACACTGCTGACTGCTTTTCTTTTGCAGGGTCTGAAATGCTTTTTTCAACAGTGCCAGGCTCTGTCACCCACCTTAAACCATGATTACCATGAAAAAGTTTCAGACTGCTCATTGGAAGCAGGTGATTTAGGCTTATGCTTCGAAAGTGCCAAAAAAATGATGTGTAATTTGTACAATTCTCTAAGAACTTTCATGCGCGATGTACAACGAATTATTGATTTAACGTGTAACAGTGAAAAACTTAGATCACATATGACAAAGATGAATTTCACTAGACTAGAATTATAAAATGTCAGAGATTACGTTTTTTTATATGACTTGCAAGAAAAGAAAGATGGTATTCAGTGCTTCGTAATAATTTTGTTTGTACAGAACGACTGCAAAAAAAATTTGCTGTTTTTCTTTTAATTTGTTCGCAAAAATGGTTTGTAATCAAAAAGGCGATATCTGGAAAGCATTTGAAAATGATATTTGATGCTAAACTCATTGTTATATTCTCAGAAGCTTCATCATTCCACGTGGCAAACGTCAACATTTACTGTCAGAGGCGAACACGAATTTCATGTGCTAAAAATTATCAGTAATCTGGAAGACATCTTTAGTTTTTTTTTGGCTCATATCTTATTATCATTTTCAGCAAAGCAATTCTTTAACGTT